TCTCTGTCTCTCCGTCGGAGCCTGGCGGGCGGCCGGGACGTCGCCTCAGCTGGATGACACCATCATGCCCAGCGGGTGCAGAGAGTCGCCATCCAGCACCCAGCTGCCGATGCGGTAGAGGAGCCGGGAGTACCAGTGGATGCCGGGGGCCGCGGGCTCTCCCACGGGCGACCCCGCCGCGGAGGGACCGAGCGCGGCCAGCACGGCCTGCAGCAGGCGGAAGGGAGCGAAGGCCCAGTGCGCCCAGCTGTGCTCCTCGATGACGGCGTAGCACGAGGCCAGCACGCGGTCGATGAGGATGGTGCCCTGGGCGGTGAGCGGCGCGTAGGCGCCCGACGCCTCCTCCCGCAGCGACACGCGGTGCACGGCCGCCGGCAGCAGCCGCCCGCCCTCGCCCAGCACGAAGACGCGCTGGCCCGGCCGCACGCGGCTGGCGAACAGCGCCCGGCCGCCGCCCGCCTGGGACTGGTTCTGCTGCGGGGCCACGAAGAGCAGGTGGGCGGCCGTCAGCAGCAGCCGGGCCCGGGGCTGCCGCGTCTCGATCACGTAGAAGAGCTTCTGGGAGCCGTCCTCGCGGTCCAGGAAGGTGAGGAAGTCGCTGTAGAGCAGGCGGCCCTCCGTGTCGGCCACCAGCACCCTGTCTCCAGGCCTCAGGTCCTTCACCAGCTTGGTCCCACCTTTCTCCAGGTGCACCGTGGCCGAGCCGGGGAAGCAACCCCCGGATTTGGCCGCCACTGAGTTTTCTGTGCGAGGAGAGAAGCAGGGCAGGGTTAGAAGAGGCCAGGGCCGAGGCATGGGGGCGTGCAGGAATTTATCACTTCCTCAGCCAACCCAACCCACCAAGAAAGCCCAGGACACAGCCAGACTCCCCTCTGAAATTCCTCCGCCCTCTTCTATAAATACGCCCCATCTACACTCAGTGAGTCAATTGAGAATCCCCTTCCTGCCAGATTTGAGCCAGTGCAAAAATCTCCTCTGGGTAAGGAGTTACAGGAGTGATTTGTCTCATAAAGGAAATGAGCCAAAATATTTCCACTGAGAAAACTGTTCCAGAACAAAATCTCTTCTGGAAGGAGTTCCCATTTAGCTACTGTTTTACCCTGCACTGACACCTGATGCCAGATAACTTGCAGGCTTTCAAAGCTGAGTGGTTTTGCTGGCATAAAGTATCTTCTCTAAGCAAGTGCCTGTGCTCTCGATGCTCAGGGTCCTCACTCAGCTCTTACTCAGGGAGCACATCTAGGGCAGCAAACAGCAGAGGACAGGAGGAGACTTTGCCCCAGGGTGCACACAAATTTTGCCACCGAAAAGTAGCAATCCAGATTTCCCAAATCCCCCTGCATGGTGCTGCACAAGCCCCCATGCTGCCTCCAGCCTTCCTGCTCAGTGGTTAACTGAGGCACATCCCACACTCAGGCAGCACCCCTGCCTGGCATCTCCAGCACTCTGCTTCAACCCTCTCTCAAAAAGAAAGAAACCTCTCCTTCCCCCCTAGAAGAAGAATGCTCTTCCCTGTTGCAGAGCATGTGGTCCCAGAGCAGCCCAACACCTGTGCCAGGCCCAAGCAAATGCCTCCTCAACCTCCTCCAGCTCTTGGGAATTACTCAGAGTTTAGAGCAGCCGTTGCTGCTTTCCTGTGCTCGTGCGAAGAACAATCTCAGACTCAAAGAAAACAAAAGTAGCAATAAGACTCTGTCTCTCTTGCAAATCACTTTTTGGAAGTTCAGCCATCTGTGGGGTGGTAGGCAAAAAAATCTGCTGAGCTCCAGGCTGATCTCTGTCTTAGCAGAGGGGCTTGCAGTGTTCCTAACTGCTCTGGTTTTTTTTTTTTAATATTGGGTAATACCCTATAGGATGTCATGGTTGCAAGTGTCTACAGCTGTTGAGATTCCCCATCTGTCCCTTGCCTTTCCCTGCTTTCTCTCAGTTACTTCCTATACCAGTTAAAGGACCTGATAATTTAGCTCCTAAAGGTGGACAGATTTTATATTTTTGCCTCTGTGGCTGCTACTGAAATTCCTATGATTTAAACAAATCCATGGAGTGTCTCCTAATGACTTTCTCAGGAAGGACAGGAAGGGTGAAAATTAGACTGTTATTGATTTGCTAATGACTTTATCACTTCTCCTTCAGAAATGAAGCAGCAAGATCTCCAAGGCCTCCCTCTTCAGGGAGGACATGGCAACAAACAAGCTATGTGCTTTATGTGGAGGCCTCTGCTAGTAAACTACACCTTCCTACAAGCTGGCAGTAAAGGTCTGGCTAGAGCTTTGTTTGCATATTCAGGGACTTGATGAATAGATGTAGTAGTGTAGCAGCTCTACAAACATGCCAGTGAATTGGCAGAGGTGTGAAAATCTGCTTCTTTGAGCAGTGCTTGTTTGGGTTCTCTAATTAAAATCCAATAAAGGATCAGCATTGTCATTCTGATTCATGTAATAAATGCAGACACTCTTGGAAGAGAGGACACTTCCATTTTTTTCCCAGCTTCTTCCCCCCCTTTCTCCCCCTCCCTATTTGTTCAGGTGCAGAAACCCTATGTGCCAATTCACACACATACTCTCCAAAAAACCCAGGACCTTCCAAGCACTATTTGCACAGCAGAGCCACTTTTCCAAGGCACTCAAGATCTGTATTTGAATTTTAAATGTAGAAGCTTGCTCTAAATACTTGCTGTAGCGCATTATCAATGTCCCTTTTACCACCCCTGCCTCTCCCTCCTCTGTTCTGGTGACAATAATTCAGGCCTTGGGGGAACTCTTCTTTGCATTCCAGTCTCCTGGATCATACTTTTTGCAAACAGAGATCTAGATAAAGAATCTTCCTGCTGGCATTATGGGATTTAATCTTCTCATGAGATGCTCTGTCATGAAATGAGGTTTGGACAGTTTAAGATCAGGCTGAGAGAGTGGAATTCAAGCCTGCTCCCTTCAGCCTGCCTCGTACAGTCACACGACCCTGCCTGACACCCTCCAAATATTGCCCCCGAGTCCCTGTGTGCCGAATCTCAATGAGCAGCTTGGGGTGGCTCCTCTCCTGTGAAACACTCCTGGGGTGGATTAGGAGGTGCTCCTGGGCTAAGGTCACCGTGCCCCACAGTCGGACACCTTGTGCTACAAAGCCCATCTTGGCTATTGAAAGGGGTGTTTCAGATCTCCACGCAGCTGACAGCTTTGCAGGGCCTCTTTTCGGCTAGAAAGGACCCAGGAGCTGAACAAAAGCAGCAGCAGGCTCTCAGGACAAAGCCCACATGGGCCAGGAGAGGTGCTCAGGCCCTGGGGAGCTCTGGGCCAGAGTGGGGGACATGAACCCCTCCTGCAGGTGGGCACGACAGGGCAGGGCTGGTTTCCTTGCCGTGGGGCTGCCAGGTTCAAAGCAAATGGCTATATTTAAAGAAAGCCCATTATTCTCTTTTGCAGCCAAATGTCTCCTGACACATCCAGCAGGTTGCTGGGCTAGAGTATGCTCTTAAAAAGAGCTTTCGATGTCATACAACTGGGTGGAGGGAGGTGGTGGAGCTGGGGGCTGTCACTCGCTGACAGATTTGCCCCACCAAAAAAACGTGTCAAGTGTCAAGAAAAGAAACTGCGACTCGGGGATTTCTTGCGAGCTGTTCCCGGGTTGAGACAGCGTGTGGCGTTGTAAGCACAGGGGAGGGGAGGAAAAAAAATTATGTGTATCCCTATCTGGGAATTTCCTAGCGGCTACCGCTGAAGGAGGCTGGGGACCACGTTATTTATTTTCCTGGCCGGCTCCCACTTGGAGATTAGCACTCACGAGTAAGGCGTGCAGCCAGCGAGGCGGCCGGAGACGGCCACGAGTGTTTGTGTTGAACATGCTCCTTGGATGGGGAAAGCATCACAGACCCCACGGGGGGAGCAGAAGGGTGTGTGGCTGCGACGCAGCTCTCGTGGGAAGGCTGGCCAAGAAAATCACCCAAATAAAAGTGCTGTGAAAAACTGCTGCAGCTGGCTGGGCTTTGTTTTTTTCCTTCCCCTCACTCTTTCCTTTTCCCCACGAAAGAAAAGTCGGGGTCGCTAAGAGGCGGGGGAAGGCCGGCTGCGCCCTCGGGGCTCTGCAGGAGAGGGATGGGGACCCTGCGGGACGAGAGGAGGGAGCCTGGCGGCAGAGACAGGCGACACAAGGCTCTAGGGCGCTGAGTGGCGGCCCGGGGGTGTCTCCCCACCTCGACACGTCCCTGGGCATGCTGCCCGCCTTACCTGCTTTGACGGAGCAGTGGATGTGCGCTTTGGACTCGTAGTAAACCCAGTCGAAGCCAGCCTCGACGGCCAGGCGGGCCAGCATGCCGTACTTGCTGCGGTCCCGGTCCGAGGTGGTGATGTCCACGGCGCGGCCCTCGTAGTGCAGCGACTCCTCGGAGTGATGGCCGTCCTCGTCCCAGCCCTCGGTTACCCGCAGCTTTACCCCGGGCCACTGGTTCATCACCGAGATCGCCAGAGCGTTCAGCTTGTCCTTGCAGCGCTGCGGGGACACGGGCAGATAGGAAAGGGTCATTGTGGGGGTGCTGCAGCCAGGGGAATACCCCCCCTTCGTTATCTATACCCCCCTTGGCCACATCCTGCCTCTCTCTCCAGCCAAAGAGGCGGCATTCCTGCCCTCCCCGCCAAAGTGCCCCGGGTTGGGCTCAGCCGGAGCTGAGCACCTTCTCCCCCGCTGCCAGGCAGGGACGGGGAGGTAGCTGAGGAGAAGGAGAGTGAAACTTGGGGACACGGGATGAACAGAGAATCAAACACCACGAAGAGCCACAGGGACGGACCTTTTCCCTGCCCTGGCACCTGCTGCAGGGACAGGGGGACCCCCCTCTGCCGGCGCTGGGGTGTGAGCGTGGCGATTCAAAGCCACCTGCACGGAGCAAATTCCTGCCGCTAAGTGCCCTGTCCCTTCCCGAGAGCAAAGTTTCTGCCCAGAACAAACACTCGCCGTGTATCTCAGAGTCACGGATTCCCCCCTGGAATGTCTCTGCGGGTCTTTTCAGCTTAATTCTGTGTTGAAAAGGGTATCAATACATGTTAACAGCCTTTATGTGCTGGAGGGAGGGGTGTTTTTTTTCTTCTCTCCCTTCGCCCATCACTCATTAGAGCCCTCAAAGCTGCATGGGCTGGGAGCATTCACTCTGCTTCAAACATACATCGGCGCTCGCCTACAAAGCCGAGCAAATCCATACAATAATATAGCTCTTAGTGGGAAGAAGAAAAGCAAGGGAGGGCCAAGGAGGGAAGTTAAGCGGAGCAGGGATGCTATGCAAGCTGGGAGACCCTTTGTGTGGAGTGAAACCCTTCCAACTTCGTGGAGAAAGTACTGCAGGGGTTTTCATTGACCCTCCAGAGCTACCAGCCTTCTCGGGGCTGAACTGGGCCCAGCAGCACCGGGAACATGTAGGGGTCGAGTAATGACCCCTAAGGACAGGGAAAAGTGAGGAAAAGAGGTGAGCTGAAGCCCTGAAATTTTTGGGGAGATTCCCGTCTTAGCCAGGTGGGGAATAGACACAGTGGTGACAGGGGAAAAGGATTCTGAGCCCGAGAGAAACAGGAATTCAGCACCAAAAGCATTGAAAAGCACTTGACTAAAGGTACAGAGTTAGAAACACACACATTGCCAGCTTTCTTCCTCCTTTTTGAGAGGAAAACCACCCGTGGATATACAAGATGTTATTCTCTTGATGCAAATACCGATGTGCCTGTAAGCCACTGCAGGATGCAGTAAGCTGTGCTTCCCACACTTTTACTGGCCTGAGTGGTGTGCTTGGCCTTCTGCAGGACCGTTCTCTCCAGTGTGCTCACAGCACAACCGATAACAGACCACAAAGTCCCCCTTTCACAGCTCCCAGGAAGGCAAAGACCCTCTAATACTCTGACGACTCTACTTTTAGGGACGTGACAAGGTTGCTTAGCAAGGAAGTTCCCATGTGTTCACCAACAGCCATAAAAGTGATTCCAGCAACACACAGGTTGATATAAAGAGATACAAAAGTCCCTGAGAGATATAAAACACAGTCATGAGCTCACTTTGGACTCTCTGGCCTACCGTTTTATGGAGAGAGATGGGTGTTTGGGTTTCGGCACCGTTCCCGGCAGCAAAGTGCAGTAGTACAAGGAAGTTGAGTTTGATTTCTTTTTTTCCCCTCTCTCCCTCTCACACCTGAGTGGATAGATACGCTCCTTCACTGATTTACAGGGGAAAGGGGGAGAAGGATCAAACGTCTCAGCTGGTGATAAGTCGACAGCACTGTGCGACACGGCGATGTCTTGCCCGGCACGGGAGCAGCGGGCGCGGGCAGGGCCGCGGCCGCGGTGCGGGCAGTGGCCGCTCCGGCCCTGCCAGCACCCCTTCCCGGCTCCAGGCGAAATAAAGGAGAAGGAACGACCTCCTAAAGGACTTTCCTCCCTTTTATACTGCCTGAGCTGGATTGTCAGAGTCAAAAGCCGTGAAGCCCAGACTATTTATTAATTCATCGGGTCGTGTGCCACAAATCAAGCCCAATTCTGTTCAGCCACCGTGAAGCTCAGCAGGGCTGCCTCCACTAACGCTTTGTGTGGAGGCAAAGTTGTTCAACAAGCCCTCTCCTGCCAGCTCCTAATCTCTTCACAAATGAATTGCTTGAAGGAAACACTTAACAGGTACCTGTCAGTGTAAACAACCTGGTGGGCTTCCTAAATGCCAAGTTGATCTCTAAATTCCTCACATCACGCACTGGTTGTGTGCCTGCATTACACGAGATTGCTATTTTATTTCATACAAATTCCAGCTTTATCATACTGACCTGGCCTCCTTATCTCTCTCCCCGATCCAGCCAATGGCCGGGGTGGGGGGGGAGGAAAGGGAGGAAGGGGGGAGCCCTTAGCAAACTGCTGGTGTCACCTGCAAAGTTGAGAACCTGACTTACCTACCTATGTTTGCGTTCCCCCCCCCCCCCCCTTCTGGAGTTAATATTAACTAGCGACTAATGCATTCGGCAACCACTCTGCAAGTTTAACGATTCTGTCCATGAAAGATCTCTCCATGGTTGAAGGGCTCCCGAAGCCGACGTTTAAAGGCTGGGATTTAACGAGAAGTTGCTGGCCGAGCGAGAGAGGGAAGGAGAGGAAAACAAGGCAGGGAGGCCAGTGGCAGGACCGCACCCCGGGTCGCCGAGGACCCGGCCGCGCCCGGGCAACCGGGAGCGCGGGCAGCCAGTCCGCTGGCTGCCCGGCCCCGCTCCGCTTCCCCGCTCCCTGCCGGGCCCGGGGCCGCCGGAGCCCCGCTCGCTCCCCGACCTCGCTCCCCTCTTTGCCGCCGGGTACCCGGCCCCGCGGCCTCCCCGGCCCCGCCGCTCTCAGCCCACCTCCCCCCTTTGTGTCTAAGGCACGGGAACAAGCACTGAAGGAGGGGGGGGGGCAAAGTATTTGTTTTCGTTTCGTTCGTCTGAGGGAAGTTGACAGAAGGTCAGGAGTTCAGACGCTGCCAGCTAATGCAGCGGGAGCGGCCAGCCGCGTAGCCGGCGCGGCGTGCCCCGGGAGAGCCGCGGGGCCGGGGTCAGCCCGCAGTCCGCCCCCGGCCCGCAGCCCACCGCGCCCGACCGTGCCCCGCTCCCCCCGCGCCCGCCGCCCCGCTCCGCTCCGCTCCGCCGCGCACACGCACCGGCGCAGCCGCGCGGGGAGGGATGCGCCCAGCCCCGGCGGGAGCCCGTCTCCCGCGGAGCCGCCGCCGCCGCCGCTGCCGCCGGGCTGCGGAGGGAAGGGTGAAACCCGAGCCGCCGCGATCGATACGCGAGGGGAGTAAGTGGAGCTGAAAATGCGAGAGATGCGGCTCCGGAGGCAGCGGGGGCGGAGGACCGCGGGTGCGCGGAGGGGCGCGGGCCGCGCCCGAGCGGGGCCCGGCACCCGCTCCGCTCCGCTCCGCTCCGCAGCCCTGCGCGGGCGGCGGCGGCGGCGGGCGGAGGCGCCGCCGCGCTCCGAGGTGCGGTGCGATTTAAGGTGGTCGGGAGGAGATGGTGGCGGCCGCCGGTCCCTCGCCCCGGGAGACCCGGCAACGTGCGGAAAATCAGGCCGAGGAACGGGGAGAGTTTGGGAAATTCCACCCCCACCCCCCTTCCCCGCGTCCACTCCCCGCCTAGTCCTTCCAGGCGAGTCCTGCTCTAGCACTGAAGGTGGGGCTTAAATGTATTAATATTAAAAAAGCGCTGTTGACCTATATTTGGAGGAAACCCATTTCCAGTGTCTAGATTGCATGTAGTTTCTGAAACTCCGGGATTGGCAGAGCAATTGACTTCACCGAGCTCTCTGTTGAGCATGAATTATAATTACGAGGTGACTCTCGGAGCGGTTCTCTCTCTCTCTTTCTTTCTCTCACCTTTATCTTTTTCTTTCTTTCTTTTTTTTCATAAAATAGTTCCGCAATCCGATTTCACCCGAAATCCAATATTTACCCAGTTGTAAACCTTGTGCCATCAGATTTTTTAAAAGAGAAGGTGATGCAATGCCGATAAGTTGCAAGTCCCTCCCCTATGGAAGTACCAAGCATTGGCGGCGAGCATCCTTAAAGAAATATCAATATATTTACGCTCTGATGGGCACAATCGCAAATGATGGTATTGCAATACGAGCTATATAATACGGAATCAGATGAGGAATGGTCGATCCGGCTTCAGCTGCCTTTTGTGAGTGCACGACTGCATGCCTACTAAATTTAGAATATGCTCGCGAGGACAACAATAATAATAATGAAGGTTAAAATGAAATGAAAAGGGGAAAAAAAGAGAAATTAAATAAAATCTATAGAGAAAAAAAATCAAGTCAGCAGGCGCAGCAACCGCGGACTACGTTTGTAATAATGAGTGGGTGGCCTGGCGGTCACTATACACTTGGGGTCCTCTGAGCTGTATGCAATTCGTTTGATCAAAGTGCATCCTTGGGGACAAATGCAAACAGCAATCTCTAACCAAGTTACAGGGAACGCCATGGCACGGTAATGACTGTAAGTATCACACAGATTCCCCCACCAAATATCTAAACAGCTCCAGCTCCAGCCCCTGCTAACTTGGCCGGATAGATGGTATTTACATTCAATGGGGAAACTAGTCGAGTTTGGAGGGGCGGGGGGAGGAGGGGGAGAGGGAAAGGGGGGGGCTTTCAAAAATACTAAGACAGATGCGTCCTTTAGGATTGCTCAGAGAGGTTAACAAACACAAATACAGGTATCTCTGTGGCTCTACCTGAGTCATCAGTCTGTCAGCTCCCGTGTTCTCTTCATCCTTAAAAATAATGTCAGGGTTGTAATTTGGGGTTAGTTCTTTAAATCTCTCGGAGTTTCTTGTGATCTTCCCTTCATATCTTCCACTGGCCCCTAGGGTCTTCTCTGCCACATTGGGAATAAACTGCTTATAGGCTAAAGGGGTCAGCTTTTTGGGGTGTCTCCTTTTTCCAATGCCCCTGCCTGGTCCACAAGTCAGCCCAGAGGAGACTAAAAGAGCGCAGATGAAGCCCACCAAGAGAATTCTTGTCAACAGCAGCATTTCGTCCATTGAATCCAATTACTTCAAAGCTCTCTGTGCCTATCCCTGGCTGTCTCTCTAGAGCTCTCTCTCCTCCTATGTCCTTGTCTGCTTTCTGAATCGTATACTATCCACCGATCCCTAGCAAGACAGGTGCTGGAATGGCAGGCTTTAGGTCGCTGATAACGGAACACATCGGAGTTTGGTCGGGAGACAGCAATCGAGAGACAAAAAAAGGGTCTGATTTTAATGGTAGCAAAGCAAGACGCTTGTGAGAGGAGTCTGCCTTTAGTTCTATATTATAGCTGCCAGGGCCGAGAGCTGATTGGCCAAGGCGAGACAAGCTTGTCTTCTGATGTTTTAACCCTCAAAAAGGCAACAAATTCTTGAAAGATTTTTTTTTTCCTTTTACCTGAAGGGCTTGGAGCTGAGAGGGGTGGAGATCGCGCTTTCTTGGGATAACATCAATTACAGGCTTTTTTTTAAATTTCTTTTTTCTTTATTTCTTTTTTTTTTCTTCTTCTTCTTTTTTTTTTTTTTTTTTTTTTTTTTTTTTTTTTTTTTTTTTTTTTTTTTTTTTTTTTTTCTCCAAAAACTTTCTTGGCAGAATGGTACATTTGCCAGCAAGAGGAACAGATGCCTCTCTGAAAGAGGGGGAAAAAATTAAGATTAGCAGGCTGCTTCAGTGCAAGTCAAGTTTCTAAGGGCAGTTGTGGTTAAATAAAATGCCGAATTATCGGGGAACTGTGCAAATAGGAACATACTTGGGTAATATTTACGCCCCGGGGGGGAATAATGCCATTTCAGAGCGCACCCACCTAAATGGCTTTGTAACAGGTTTCTTGCCCCTGAAAAGGGAGATTGCTCTCCCTCCCAAAGACATACATTTTTAAACACACTCGCCTTTTAGCTGATAAATGACCACTTTAATAGCAGAAACAGGTCTGATGCGAAGCGGCAGTTAAATGAAGTTAGTGTGTCTGACTGGTGTATCGCACAACTGCAGTGTGTCTTTTTTTTTTTTTTTAAATAAAATCAGGACTATCACCCAGTTTAAAATAACGTTGTATCTTCGGAAGTGCACGAATAGTCAACTGATTAAAAATAGATGATCTGAGCACGCTGGGGCTATATTCTTTGTTTCTTTGGTCAAAGTCGGAGAGGAGCGTTTTAGACTCTTACACCTCCTTGCGGGGTGTCATTAAGTTTTTAAGAAAAGCATAGTGTTGAAAGCATCCGCAAACACAATTAACAGAGATCGATCCAAGCAAAGTGAATGGAAAGGGGATAAGTTTAATGTTAAATTAATTGTTATCTCATGCAGCGTGGCAAGTGATGTCTTTATCCCGATCTCCAAAAGCTACTAATCAGACAAAGGTGTTGAGAGACGAGCAAAATTGCAGAGATGAGGCTGATAGAGCAGGTTAGACAGAACAGTAGAGTCCCATATGAACAAACACTTCTCTGCCTGCAAAGTGCTCATTTGCTTCTGCTCCTAAGAAAATACACTTTGTCCTAGGCTCTAGAAACTTTCAGGAGTTTTTTAGGAGTTCTTAAAAATTCCAGGACGGTGTGCTAAAGTAATTCAAAGTCCACTTTCTCAGAAAAACAAAACACATCCAAAAAACAAACTTTATTTAAGTTGTGGGGTTTAAAAAAAGAAAAAGGAAAAGAAAAAGGAAAAAAAAAAAGAAATAAAAAGAGCTCTTTGGGGTGAACAACTATATGTGAGTTTTCCAGTCTGTGACATTGAGCTGAGCATTCAACTTAAACCTTGAAAATGAATTTTAAAATCAGTTTTTAAGTGGTAAAAAGTTGTATATCTGTAAACTGCAATAAACAGGTCAGCATGGACCTTTCAAGGGACAAAGTGGTCTTTTCAGGTAAACTTTAGGAAAGTGGCGAAAGAAGCGGTCCGAAGTGGTCTCATGCCGACTCTAACTGGTACTCTTTCATCTTTTTTAACCTATGCTTTTCTTCTGCTATTTATGTTTCTTTGTGGAGTTTCAGTGAGTCGTCGATTCCTCTTTCTGACCTTTAAATTGAGGAGTTTTGACTTGGAAATGGGTAAAAAGTTAGAAAGTCAGCAGCTTGGCTCCTAGGTTGTTATCAACCAACTTAGTTGCAGAAACAAGTTGTATAACAGCTAAATACCTGCTTCGTGCTATTAAAAAACAAACTTAAGTTTTATCTCTCCGTCTGTGTGCATGCGAGAAGACAGATACAAGGAATATATAATTTATACAAAAGAGGGTATGTTCTTTTGATGTGGTTGCCTAAACAGCATGACTTGATATAACAGTTGATTAAACAGCGCCAAGGAATAAAAGCTATCCTTAATGGTGTGGAATACTGCAAAACTTTTATCACCCTTCTTACCTTGTCCCCCTCCCCATGGAAAGAAGATCGATATCCCAGGCACTGGATGGGTGGACATCGCAGTGAAGAAATCTAGAGAATAAGGACAAACTCCCTCATTATCAGATTGCCATATGTACAAAGCAGTCACCCAAAGATTAACAGGGAAGGAAACGCAAAGAAGGAATTAATTAAATGCAAGTAATAAATGCGCGGGGCGGGGGGAGTGGGGGGGAAGGGAGAAATCGAGAAAAGTTGTAACTGTGGGAAGCTCGAAATCCCCCTCCTATCAAATTAGATGTGAAAGAAAGCAGAGCTGGGGGAGCGGGGAGGCTCTGCTCAGCTTCAGCGCAGCCTGGAGCCGGGCGGGGGGAGCCGGGGTGCGAGGGGGACACCGGGGGACACCGGGGGACACCGAGGGACACCGGGGGACACCGGGGGACACCGAGGGACACCGAGGGACACCGGGGGACACCGGGGGACACCGGGGGACACCGGGCCGGCGCTCCCGCCCGCCCCGCCGAGCCGCCGGGATGCGCCCTGCCTCTCCTCCCCACGAGGAGCTTTTCTTCTTCCTTTTTAATGCTTATTTCAATGGCACAGCTTCTGGGCGAACAGCAGCCCCCGAGGCAGCGCCGGGGGGGAGCAGCACGGGAGCCCCGAGCCCGGCCCGCACTCCGCAAGCACCCGGGGCAGCAGCGGCCCCCGGCCGGCACCGACCCCTTCTCAGGAGGCTCCAGAGCCCGCTGCTGTCCCCATGGGCCCCGGTGGCCCTCAGGCTGCCCAGAGTGAGCGTGTGGGGGATGCCCCTGAGTGGAAATGGCTCTCTCCACCTCCCTGCCCTCAGTGCCAGGTCCATTGTGGAGCGCCGGGCTCCTCAGCAGCCCCCAAAGCCCTGCTGGGTCATCCAGATCCACACCACAATCCCTGAGCATCCCCTGTGGCCCCGGTGAGTGCCAGTGAAGCAGCCAGCACAGCCCCATGGCCGCACTGCCTCTTCCAGGGGCTCAGCCAAACCCGCCGGAGCTCCCAGTGTGCTGGCATGGGTGGCACCATTGCCAGCACTGTCCTGGGCCACCCGCAGCCAACCTGGGCTGCAGGGGGGTGGTGATGGATGCAGCCAACCCCCAGAGAAGCTCTTTGAGAATCAGACATTATGTATCTTCTTTTTTTGTGAAATCTGGATTTGCTGATGGCTGTGGGCTCTGCATAAAGCTAAGGAAGGGTTCAGACTGTGCTAGAGGTTGCTCAGTGGCAGTTTGAAGTTTCCAGATTTTCCTTGTACTGATGTATTTTGGCTGATGTATCTTAAAATACGGAAAACTATACATGCAAATGCTGTGTGGCTTTTAACTGGATCTTAACTATTTATCACCCTTAATAGCCAACATTTGTCCTCATGCTTAATGTATAATTTTTAAAATAAATTATCCATTTTTAGAGCATGAAAGCTTCATTCTTGTAGCGTCTTTGCACCTGTGGCACTTCTCAAGAAATTTGGAATCAGAGCAATCATTACCAGAGAAGTAGATCATGAAAAACTTCAGTGAGAAGAGAGTAAAACTGGTGTAAATAGGAGACTCAGTCAGGATTTTCACCTGAAGTTTTGTTTGATTCCTTTATATACCCCACCCTCCTTTATGGCAGTGTTAACCCATTTTCTTTAAAGGAATTGGTGCACATCCCTGTTGCCCATCCTCATGGTATTGCAATACCCATCTTGAAAATCAACTTAGAAATTGCAGTTCAGAATTACTAGCTAGCTGCCATTAATATCTTTATAAGACAATCAAAGCAATTATTGTTCTGCACAATTTTCTACCAGAAACCCCAAAACCCTGGGCACCAACAAGAAAAATTAAGCTCGTAATTTTCCACACATTTTGGTTTGACAGCAAAATTCAGGGAGCCATGCGGCTGAAACCTGGTATTGCTTTGCTGTCCGCTTAGCCTGGCATTAGTCTGTGAGCATTTCTACCACAAGAAAAAGCATTTTGTGTGATGGAGAAGTAGAAAATATTTGCTTTCCAGAATAACTGTGCATTGATTTTGCAGTTTTCATATCCATTTGCTAGTGGATTAATGCTAATCATTGTCTTGGATATGGTCAATATAGCCTTTCATCATACATGCAAAAATTTTTGTAGGCAGAATGATTCATAAGACATTGTTATCTAGGTTTTGTTGTGTATTTGCTGTTGAACCAGACTTTAAAGCAGAATTTCCCACAGGTTTCCTTATATCTTCATCAGGGCAATATGTAGTGTCTGATTATAGGTTTATAGAGAAACCCTTACATTTCTCTTTTAGGCATTTTCATTTCTCCTTGAATAACCCAACTATTTATAATTCCAAAAGTCCCAGGTGGGAGTGAGTATTTTTTTTTTTTTCCCCTTCTTGGATTGTAATCCGCTTCCCTTGTGCAGTTACTTCCTTCTGGTCATGAATGGGGAAAATCCCAGCCGAGGTGTTTCTGTCCGCGGGGACGGTGGGAGGGAAGCAGCCGCTAGGGGAGCTCGATTTTGGGAGTAATCCCTGAGCACCTTCCTCACGGCTTGCACAGCTTTTCTGCAGTAGGAATTTGAAAGAAGGTGTTAAGTTAAAAAAAAAAAAAAAAAAAAAAAAAAAAAAACACAAACAACCAAAAAA